TGGATCAGCAAAATGAGTTATTAGAGAAGGTATGAAGTACTTCGGGGTCCCAATACATCCGAGATTCAAATATATATGGAAATATTTAGAGCTAAAACAGCTTAGTTTCAGGCAAAAATAACTCAGACCAAAGCATGACATGTTCTCTTTTGACATTTAGCAATTGTATTTCCCCAAAGCAAATATTTTGTGTGGTTAGTTTCCTTCCTCCGTTAGCAGTTCATGCTAAAACACCATTAAAAATAACTGCCTTCCCTCATGCTCAACTCATATATGATTACCATCAGCCAATACGTGGATATCTGATCATTTGTGATGAAAGTAAATTTTTTTCACTTTAAGTGTTATGGTATCTTTTTTTGTCATTTAAAAGTAAAGTTTATGGAGTTTTAATACAATAAATGCAGTCAATTTTATGCTTTTTCAGTCTGTACTTAATTTTAGCATGTGGTCATGCAATTACCACCACAGTCAAGATGTAGAAGAGGTCCGTCACACCCCAAATTTTCCCATGTCCCTTCATCATCAGCCCCTCCCCACATCTCAGCCCCTGGATGCCCCTGGATCCCACTGGTCTGCTGTCCCATAATTTTACCTTTTCTGGAAATCCATGTAGATGAATCATACAATATGTACCCTTTGAGACTGTGTTCTTTAACTTAGCATAATACATTTGAGATTCTTCCATGTTATTGAGTAGATTAGTACTTAATTTCTTTTTATTGCTGAGCAGTGTTTTGTTGTATAGATTTACCTCAATTTCTTTTGTCATTTTCCAGTTGAAGGACAATTGAGATGTTTTCAGGTTTTAGTACTAATAAATGAAGCTTTCATAAACATCCACATGCAGATTCTTATGTGAACATAAGCCTTCATGCTTTTATTTTTCCTTGTGTACTAAACATTCGATGAAATTATTGGGCCATGTAGTAAGTGTATATTTAACTTATTGTGAAACTGGCAAACAGTTTTCCATAGTGGCTGTGACGTTTATGATACCAATCCTACCAGCAAACTGTGAGTTCTGGTTTTTCCGCATCCTCACCGAGAACTTGTTATTGACAGGTTTGTTTTGGTTTTGGTTTAGCCTTTCTAATGGATGCATAGTAGTGTCACATTGTGGTTTGAATGTGTTATTTTCCTGTGTATTAATGATATTGAGCATCTTTTCATATGCTTAATTGGTGAAATGTCTATTCAGACCGTTTGGCCATCTTATAATTTCATTATTGGCTTTATTATTCTCTCCTAAGAGTTCTTTATTCTGGATAGAATGCTTTATCAGATATGTGTTTTACAAATATTTTCTCCAACTTTTTGTGACTCGTGTTTTTATTTTCTTAACAGTGTCTTTCAAATAGAATTTGAAGTTTGGATGAAATTCAATCTATCAATTTTGTAGAGGACTATTCTTTGGTATCATCTCTAAGAAATTTTCACCTAACTCAGGGTTGCAGAGATCTTTTACCTTTGTTTGCTTCTAAAAGGTTTACGCAGTTGTAGAGATTTTACATTTACATTTATTATTGATAAATTATTTACATAATTTTTGTATGTGGTAAGAAGTACCATATACTTTGGTTTTGGTTTTTTTTTTTGTTTTTGTATGTGGATGGCCAATATTTTTAGTACCATTTGTTTAAAAAATTATCTGTTGGTTTGCCTTTGCACCTTTATAAAAAACCAATTGATCAGGGAGGGATAAATTAGGAGTTTGGGATTAAAATATACACAGTACTATATATAAAATAGATAACCCACAAGCATGTAGTTAAGTCCTATCTCTTTTTGTAAAAAATCTTTTTATTGGTGTGCTTGTACCATTTACCTATGTGCATGTATATGTGTTCAGTCACTCAGTCATGTCTGACTCTTTGTGACCCTGTGGACTGTAGCCTGCCAGGCTCCTCTGTCCATGGGATGTCCCCAGCAAGAATACTATTTCCTCCTCCAGAGGATTTTCCCAATCCAGGGATTGAACCTGCATCTCCTGCATTGCAGGCAGATTCTTTATTGCTGCATCACTGGGGAAGGCCCATTTACTTATAATGTAATCATTAGTGTTAGAATTTAAGATTTCCAACTTATTATGTATTGTTTGCTGTTTTTCTTTCCTCTTTTTTCCATTCCTGTCTTCCTTCCTCTACATTTCTTGAATGTTTTTAATGTTTCATTTTAATGTATATGTAGTAGAAAGTATTTATTGAGATGCATCATACCAGCATACATACCAATCTAAAATGTGCAATTCAATCGTTTTTTTTCATATTCACAGAGTTGTATTGTACAGACATCACAAGAACTGATTTTAGAACAGTTTCATTTTACCCCCTGTAACCGCCGATTCCTTTAGCTGTCCTCAGACACTTCTCTCTCTTTTCACTCCTGGTCTGTGCAAGCACTTGCTGTGGAATTCTGGGCTGACAGTTCTTTCTCCTCCCCCACAACACTTGGAAAATGTGCCATTGTCTTCTGGCCTTCATAGTTTCTTATGAGAAATACACTATAACTTGAACTTAGTCTTCAGAAATTTGATTTTGACTGACTCAGTATGGATTTCTTTGGGTTTATTTTGTTGAGCTTTGCTCAGCTGTTTAAATTTGTAGGTCTGTGTCTTGCACTAGGTTTGGGCCAGTTCTAGTCACTATTCCTTCAGATATGTTTTTATCCTCTCTCTTTCCTCTCTTTCTGGGGCCGTGATGATGTGAATGGTAGAAACTTTGCTGCTGGCCCACAGAGCCCTGAGACTGTTGATTCGTTCTCTTTCTTTCTTTTCTCTCAGTTGTTCAGGCTGAATAATTTCTGTTGGTCTGTCATCAAGTCCTGTGATCCTTTCTTTTGTCATTTCCATCCTGCTGTCGTGCCTGTTTAATGTGATTTTCATTTTGGTTGTTTCATCTGGTTTTTTACTTATTTTGAAGATGTTATGACTGTGATATTTTCATTGGGTCCGTCGCTGTTTTACTTTTGGGTATCTCTGGTTTTGGCTGCTGGCTCTTTGTTGCCGCACGTGGCTTTCCTCTGGCGCGGTGCTCGGGCTTCTCCCTGCAGTGGCTTTCCCCGCGGCTCAGCGTCGGCTCCGCGGCTCACGGGCTCTCCTAGTTGCAGCATGCCGCCCCTAGAGTGTGGGCCTAGTAGTTGTGGTACACGGGCTTCGTTGCCCCACAACTTGTGGGATTTTCCTGGACCAGGGGTTGAACCTGTGTCCCCTGCATCGGCAGATGGATTCTTAACCAATGGGCCACCAGGGAAGTCCCACTGAGTTCATCTTTATGTTTTCTCTCATTACTGAGGCTTTGAATTTTTCCATTTGCTTCAGGAGCATTCATAGTTGCTTATCAGACTTTTTATGACCACTGCTTTAAAATCTTTGTCAGCTAACTCTAATATCTGTACCATCACAATTTTGGTGCCTGTTTATTATCTTGCTTAATATTTTCCTGATATTTGGTTTGTGTAGTAATTTTGGATTATATCTTGAACATTTTGTGTATTATGGTAAAGACTCTGAATCCTATTTAAATCTCCTGTTTTAGTAAACTGATAATCTGTTTAGGTTAGAATGAACATTTTGTTCCAATTTTGTGGACTGTGGTTCAAAAGTCAAAATTTTTCAAAGCTCTTGCAAGTTATTTTCTGGTCTGCCCCACTTTTGTAATACCCTGGCCAATTTAGAACCTGGGCAGATTTCCACTAAGAGTTCAATTCTCAAAGCTTTTTCTATTTGAACTGTGGTCAGTTCCATACATGATCTGCTGAAAGTTATCCATGGCATCATGCACTGATATAAGGAATTGCTTTCTCCTCCTCTCTTTTCTGCACTGTTTAGTTGAGAAGGGATAAGGTAACACCTCACTGCTATCCTTTGCCTGATTCAGGGCATAGTGCTTCACAGGCCTCCTCCCCCACAGTCTCTGCAGCATCAGGTGGACAGGAAAAGAGGTACAGTTTGTCGTCACATGTGCTTTGAATAGAGGAAGTCAGCCAAAGACCTCAGTGCTACAGAGCTGCTGTCCTGATGTTCTGATGGAGAGAACAGGCTTCGCGGGTTTTGTGAATGGGCCCCTTGGTGTTTCTAGTGTTCTGGCCACTTTAGCACCCAGGCTGTCTGTATATATAGGAGGCAAAAAACCCAAATCTGAGAACTCAACTCCAGATTGTTCCTGGACTTTCATTGTTCTCTAACCAACTTGCCTTCCTTTCACCACCTTTCATTTACTTTTTCTGGGGTGTTTAGTTTTAATTAGCAGAAGGATCATGGTATTATGCACTTGTTCCTTATTGTCTAGAACAGGAAGTCAGTCATGGTTCGTTTTTGTAGTTCTCAGAAACATACCACAATGCCTAGTGTATGATCTGCTCCTCCTGCTGCCAGGTCACTTCAGTCGTGTTCGACTCTGTGCGACCCCATAGACGGCAGCCCACCAGGCTCCCCCGTCCCTGGGATTCTCCAGGCAAGAACACTGGAGTGGGTTGCCATTTCCGTCTCCAATGCATGAAAGTGAAGTCGCTCAGTCGTGTCTGACTCTTAGCGACCCCATGGACTGCAGCCCACCAGGCTCCCCCGTCCCTGGGATTCTCCAGGCAAGAGCACTGGAGTGGGGTGCCATGGCCCTCTCTGAGTGTATGGTCTACATTAAAATTTTTTTTTTTGACAAAGAGTAAGGGAGGGAAAAAATAACCTCATATCTCAAAATGTTAATTTAGTATAACATAGTAGTTAAGAACATACTGCTTAAAGTCAACAATCAGTTTCAATTTTAGCTTCACCATCTCCTTTCAGTGTAAGGTGAAAAAATTACCCAACTCCTCTGAGTGTCAATTTCCTGTAATATAGGTATGGTACTATCTCTCTCATAGGGTGAGTAAAACTGAAGTAGTATATTTAATGCATTTACCCCAGTACTTGATAAGAAGCAGCTAGTAAATATAGTTCCTAGTTATATTAGTGATAACAACAATATTTATCAAATATCACTATTTGTTTCTTATCCTCACAGGGAACTCTGCCCTTAAAGACAAAGAAGATCAGTTTGGGAGAACACCACTTATGTATTGTGTGTTGGCTGACAGACTGGATTGTGCAGATACTCTGCTGAAAGCAGGAGCAGATGTTAATAAAACTGACCATAGCCAGAGAACTGCCCTCCATCTTGCAGCTCAAAAGGTAAGAAGTCAAATTACTGTGAAGAGTAAACCTTTTCTGTGGCATTTGTAAATTGATTAGTGGAACTGTGCGATGGACAGATGGTAAAGAAACCTCAGGTTTATAACTTTATTTTCATATGTTTTCTCAAGAACTGCAGTCTTTAAGCTGCAGGGAGTAAGCACAGATAACCATCACTTATTCATGTTCCTCAAGCAGTGAAGTTTGTTTTCTTATCTGAGAGTAAGCTGGGGAAAAAGAAACAAAATTACATGGATAGTATGATTGGACTATATTAAACTATATTACAAGTCAGTTTATGCATTGGAAAAGGCAAAGAAAGAAAGAAAACTACCACACTCTAAATTGTCAGTAGTGGTTGGGTTTGGGAATTTCATGGCGGTTCAGTGGCTAGGACTCTGAGCCTCCATCGCAGGGAGCATGGGTTTGACCCTTGGTCAGGAACTAGCTGCAGTCCACGGGGTCGCGAAGAGTTGGACACGACTGAGCGACTTCACTTTGACTTTTCACTTTCAAGCATTGGAGAGGGAAATGGCAACCCACTCCAGTGTTCTTGCCTGGAGAGTCCCAGGGCCGGGGGAGCCTGGTGGGCTGCCGTCTGTGGGGTCACACAGAGTCGGACACGACTGAAGCGACTCAGCAGCAGCAGCAGCAGGAACTAAGATCCCGGAGGCCATACACGTGAAGCACAGCCAAAAAATAATAGTCAGTAGTGGTTGGATTGAAACTCCTGATGGTCCAGCGGCTAAGACTCCACACTCCCAATGCAGGGGGCGTGGGTTTGATCCTTGGTCAGGAACTAGCTGCAGTCCACGGGGTTGCGAAGAGTTGGACACGACTGAGCGACTTCACTTTGACTTTTCACTTTCAAGCATTGGAGAAGGAAATGGCAACCCGCTCCAGTGTTCTTGCCTGGATAATCCCAGGGACGGGGGAGCCTGGTGTGCTGCCGTCTTTGGGGTCACACAGAGTCGGACACGATTGAAGTGACTCAGCAGCAGCAGCAGCAGGAACTAAGATCCCGGAGGCCATACACGTGAAGCACAGCCAAAAAATAATAGTCAGTAGTGGTTGGATTGAAACAATGGGAATATATATGAATTTTAGTACTTCTCATTGTTTAAAATGTTTTCCTTAGTGAGTGTTCCTTTTACAATAAAAAGCTGTAGTCTTGTAAAACATGTGGCATTAGAAGCATAAGTTTATTTTCTGAAATGTATTTTTAAATTTTTTAAAATCTAAAACTATATTGCTAGTATAAATTATTTCAAATTTTTAAAGGCTTGTTAAGAGCTCAGTTTTTTTAGGATTAAGCATATCAAAATTTTTTTTTTAATGGGAAGCTTCTAAACTTATTTGAAGATTTTATTTACCTGAAAACAGTTTTTCTCACCATGAAATTTTGGTCTATAAAATGTATTTCTGGTGCCTGGTATTTTTCTCTTTGTTATTTTAGATATGTATTTTTGGGACAAAAAGCAATGAAAATTAGTTAGATCCAGCAGAAACTATTAGTTATTTCCCATTAAGAAATGTGAACCAGATATAGCTGCTTAATTGAGGGGTTAGAAAAATACCTTTTCATTAGCTGAAAGCATAAAAAAAGATTGACATTAAGATGTACTTCTGAATATGCTAGTTATATGCTCTTATCATTTGGGTCTGTCAGGTTATTTCCAAAGTTATTGCTCTTGAATTTGCTTTTCATTACAGTAATTTAAAAGAATTCTCCCTCATTTTCAATCTCTCTTTTAACTACTGCTGAGGTATCTATAACCTTTCACCTAAGCTTGTCAGCTGTTACAAGTATTCAGTCAGGAAGGGTAGCTCTATTTAACTTGTTATCATAAAAAAGTAAACATTTCAGATTGGGAATAGCCCCAGTATTAAGAATTTAATACACTTTAGATTTTTTTTCATTGTGATTCATTTAGGTTTAAAACTCAACTTCAAAAATGTAGGTTAGCGGAAACTAATTGCACATCAAATGGATTATGTGAGAAAAAAAGAGAGTTTAAGTTGATGATCTAATCACATGACATTTTTGTAGAGGCATAATGTGAAAAAAGTTGAAAGGGGAGTGCACAACCAGATGTGTGAATTGTGAAGTCTCTCCATGAGATGCAGTACATTGTTTCCATTTGCGTTTTGTTTCTCCTTTATTTTTTTAAGTAGTGATTTCTTTAGTGTCAAAGAATAAATAGAACTATGATTTACATGTCACAGTTCACATAACTGATTTTATAAATAACAACTTTCACGGTCTCGCAGCTTTCTGATAATTATGCATTTCCTCTGTCTCTGTGTTGCTATGTGTTTTTGTGTGTTTGCCAAAAGCCATAAGACATCTCTAAGTCATACTAGTATTAGTAGAATACTAGTTAAGGTATACTAGTATTAGTAGAATTTCCAGAACAAGGGTGATCATCATTCTTTAACACTCTACTCTGCCCACATCAAACCTGGGTACTGTGTTTGGTTTTTTTTTTTTTTTTTTTTTTACTGTGTTTGGTTTTGTGTGTCATGCAAAAGCACCATTATTTAGAATCAGAGATAGTATAGTTCAAGCAGGAATAAATGGTGGAGGATCTAGAAATAATTTTCAAAAATGGTTGGAGATGTCCCAGGTCTGTAGCCCACCCTGTCTTTCAGCAGACACACAGACACAAATTCTCTTTAGAGAAAATAGCTTCGCCTTAAACTTCTCATATATATTCAGTTCAGTTCAGTTGCTCAGTCGTGTCCAACTCTTTGCAACCCCATGGACTGCAGCATTACCAGGCCTCCCTGTCCATCACCAACTCCTGGAGTTTACTCAAACTCATGTCCATGGAGTCGGTGATGCCATCCAACCATCTCACCCTCTGTCGTCCCCTTCTCCTCCTGCCCATATATATTAAAACAGACCAAATATGACCTCACAGTGAAAAATCACCAAACACATAAGGAAGCAATGTACCGTCTAGGAGAGTCAGCGGAAACAATAAACAAATTTCTATCAAAAACATTAAAAACACAATATAAAGTAACCATTGATGGACTATTTAAAGATACATAAAAAAGAAATATTTAAGATATAAAAAAAGAAATCATAGTAAAGAGCTACCAACCAGAGACTTTCGTGACTAAGCGTCAGTTCTCACTAGGAACCCCTATTTTTGAACAGCTCGTCTGCCAAAAACATCTGAAAACTTAACAAATATATTGTTTGAAGACATCGGAAACAGTCAGCACAGGCAGGATCATTCAGAGGAGGGCAGCTTGTGAAATTAGCTCCACATTCATCCTGGCTTTTCCCTTTAAGGCATTTTCCAAATTGGAATGTAAAAGAATGCAACCCTAGTAGGAAGCAGGATTCTGAGAAAACTGGAAGAACCCAGGTGGAGTTTGGTGTTAGCAGTAGCTGGAACTTGAAAAGCAAACCCTGAGAACCTGAGTACAGATTCCTCGCAAGTCATTAGCAGCTACTTTGGAAGAGGATAAGAATGGAGGTACATAAAAGCTATGAAAGTTCAGGCCAAGAGAGAGGAAGAGTTGGATCCAGGAGATCTATTGTGGAAGTAGAAGTGTTCATTCAGAAAGTAGTTGCCAAGTATCTGCTCTGTATTGTTTATACACCTAGTTGTTGTTCAGTCGCTCAGTCATGTCCGACTCTTTGCGACCCCTTTCCTTCACCAGCTCCCGGACCTTGCTCAAACTCACGTCCATTGAGTCAGTGATGCCATCCAACCATCTTATCCTCTGTCATCCCCTTCTCCTCCTGCCTTCAATCTTTCCCAGTTTGAGGGTCTTTTCTAACGAATCAGCTCTTTGCATCAGATGGCCAAAGTATTGCAGCTTCGGCTTCAACATCAGTCCTTCCAATGAATATTCAGGACTGATTTCCTTTAGGATTGGCTGGTTTGATCTTGCAGTTCAAGGGACTCTCAAGAGTCTTCTCCAAAATCACAGTTCAAAATCATCAATTCTTCGATGCTCAGCCTTCTTTATGATCCAACTCTCACATCCAGACACTACTACTGGAAAAACCATAGTTTTGACTATACAGACCTTTGTGGGCAAAGCAATGTCTCTGCTTTTTAATATGCTGTGTGGGTTGGTCATAGCTTTTATTCCAAGGAGCAAGTGTCTTTTTATTTCATGGCTGCAGTCATCATCTGCAGTGATTTTGGAGCCCAAGAAAAGAAAGTCGGTCATCGTTTCCATTGTTTCCCCACCTATTTGCCATGAAGTCATGGGACCAGTTGCCATGATCTTAGTTTTCTGAATGTTGATTTTTAAGCCAGTTTTTCACTCTCCTCTTTCACCTTCATCAAGAGACTCTTTAGTTCCTCTTTGCTTTGTGACATTAGGGTGGTGTCATTTGCATATCTGATGTTATTGATATTTCTCCTGGCAATCTTGATTCCAGCTTGTGCTTCGTCCAGCCTGGCATTTCTTATGATGTACCCTGCATAGAAGTTAAATAAGCAGTGTGACAATATACAGCCTTGACGTACTCCTTTCCCAATTTGGAACCAGTCCCTTGTTCCATGTCTGGTTCTAACTGTTGCTTCTTGACCTGCATATAGATTTCTCAGGAGGCAGGTAAAGTGGTTTTAAGAATCTTTTTTAAGAACATCTTTTTAAGAATGTTCCACAGTTTGTTGTGATACACAGAGTCAAAGGCTTTAGCATAGTCAATGAAGCAGAAGTAGATATTTTTCTGGAATTCTCTTACTTTTTCTATGATCCAGCGAGTGTTGACAATTTGATCTCTGGTTCCTTTGGCTTTTCTAAGTCTGTCTTGAACATCTGGAAGTTCTCAGTTCACATACTGTTTGAAGCCTACTTTGGAGAATTCTGAGCACTACTGTGCTAGCATGTGAAATGATGGCAATTGTATGGTAGTTTAAACATTCTTTGGCGTTGCCTTTCTTTGGAATTGGAATGAAAACTGACCTTTTCCAGTCCTGTGGCCACTGCTGAGTTTTCCAAGTTTGCTGGCATATTAAGTATAG